TGGGAGTACTGGTGGCAAACAATATTCAGTTAGTTGCTGCACTGGCTTGCCCTTGGCCCATGAGAGTTACGTGGCAGTTCAAGTTCTTCCTCTGCACTGTCCTGCTTCCTTCACTTCCACCCCACTGGTATTGATCTTAGGAGCACTCTCCAGTCAACATCCTGCATGAAAATCTCCCCACCAGAGTCAACTTCCTGGGAAAGCTTACCCACAACAGAAAACAAGTATCAAATCTCAGCACTGGTGCATGAGTTGTGTGTGATGCGCCTGTGTTCCCAGGTGTCTCCTGCACCCTGGCTCCTGAGGAAAGTAACTTGGCAAATTCCATTTGTTCAAGGAAAAGAATTATTCCCCGAAAATGATTTGCTAAGTTAAATTCCTTACTTTTTATTCTATAAACAGATCTTAATTTGTACTTACTGTACAAATGTCTTTACTCCTTTTTTTTTAATTTTTTTTTATGTTTATTTCTGAGACAGAGAGAGACAGAGCATGAGTGGGGGAGGGGCAGAGAGAGAGAGAGAGAGAGAGGGAGACACAGACTCCAAAGCAGGCTCCAGGCTCTGAGCTGTTAGCACAGAGCCCGACGTGGGGCTTGAACTCCCAAACCGTGAGATCATGACCTGAGCCAAAGTCAGTCACTCAAGTGACTGAGCCACCCAGGTGCCCCCAAATGTCTTTACTCCTAAGCAGAGAGTCAGCAGAGCTGTTTTACCCTTCGGGCATGAGGGTGCAGTAGTCGGGCCTTATGGGGTGTTTTCTAAGTACAAAGACGTTTGAGGGCTGGAAAACCTGTTGGCTCTTAACTACAAGACAAACAAACAGAAATCCTTTAAAAACTTAATTGTTTATTTGTGTGCCCAAAAAAGGGAATACTATGTTAACCTCAGTAATGGATAAATGAATGTACTGTATTCATGAATCTTATTTTAAAACAATGTGTATGTAGTTAGTTACCTTAGCTTTACAAACACTCCAGAGTTTTTATGCTAACTGTTGAGAAACCATAGAATTGTAAATTGAGTCACTTGTATGCCAAGTAATTCTAATAACAGAAGTAGAAAAATAACTTCAAATTTACCACAAAATTACACATAAAATGGGATACAGGTGCATTTTGACATGATGTGGGTCGAGACCTCCAAAAGTAAGAGTGCCAAGGTTGGGAGCAGTCTTAAGGTGGACCCTCTAGTTCCCAATGTATTTGTCTGCAGTGCCTAAAAATGTAATTGGCATGCAGGTACTAAAGAAGATACGCAGATGCCTCTCCCCACCTACCTTTTAACTTTCTCTTGTCCCCCTGCACTCCTTGGACTCAGAGATGTGCCATGTGGCTGGTAGACTTCTATAGAGGGTCTCAAGTGAGGGCTCAGAGGGCTGAAACCTTTCCTTAAGAGAAAGTCCCAACATGCTAGTCTCCAGCCAGAAGCCTGCAGTGGTCTGTGGGTCATAGAGGTCCCCAACCAGGGGGCTCCAGGACTTCTTTTCTTCAGTCTTTATGAAAATGACAAAAGCATTGGTGGAGCCGAACCCACACTCTATAATGAGATCTTTGTGCATTTCCCCTGTGATAACGTGGACCGTGATGACTACATGATGCCTGCGTGGGTGACAAAAGTATAAAACAAACTGATACCAACTTCCATCTTCTTCTCAAGGAAAAATTAGTTCCCAGGGTCTTTTATTAGCAAATCACCCTCCTTCTCTTTTAAGACCAGTCTTTGTCAGTTGCTTTTGATAGAGATTAGGCCATAATCCAAGGCTCCTTACCTCCTCCCTGCCTTCCCTCTTGTCCACTTATATGGGAAAATTCCTGTTCTCAGGCCCTGCCGAGCAGGCATGGCCACGTTCCATACTGCCTGATTCTCACCTCCTGGACTCCAGTTGAGGTGACCTGAAGGGTTCTCTTGTTTCTTGTCACCAAAGATTTCCAACTAAACAGAAGCTCTTAGCAAAATGCTAGTTAGCTGCCTGGCCTGTGACTCCAGAGCTGCTTCTAAGGGTAGACTCTGCTGTTTTCTCACCAACCCTAGAGCTCTCTTCTGCCCTCATGTCCTCTGCTTCAATCCACAATCCTTATTCCCTGCTATACTATAGTATGGCAGGGGGGCAGGAAGAATTGCTTCCTAGTTGGGACCTAAGCTTCTCTGATCTCCTTCTTCTGACTTTTGCCTGTTCTGGCCTCCCATACAGCTTAGGGGCACTTGGCAATCATCTCTCAAACTGTAGCTGTCACTGGAAGTTTCTGGAGATCAGAGGTGCCATCCTTATCATTTCTAGCGCCTGGTGCTGGCTTGTGGTACATGTTTCCTGTCTTTGAGGGCAAGGGCTAGAGCTGATCAGCCCAGGAAGAGTGCTGGGTGACCGCAGCGAAGGTCAGCTACTGGAGCATGTGGATGCCCAGTGTGTCTGAGAGGGTCTAGGCAAGCTTTCATCTCTTGTTTGGACACTTAGCCCTGCAAAGACAAGTGCAGAGCCCCCTCTAACAGATACCATTGTGGTAAAAGCATAGTCAGACCTTAGTTATCTCCTCTACTTCCAGGAAGGTCAGCAAGGACAGGATAGGAATTTCTAATCTGAGGAACATTTCTTTGTAGTGAGAGTTAAGATTTACATAGTGTTGTCTACAATGTATATAATTGAGTTCATGGGACACAGGCTCTAAACTCCTGTGAGGCCTCCACCAAACTTTAAATTGCTTCTGGGATTAAAACTGCCCCCAAACAACCAGAACTCTAAATTCCTCCGTGGTTCTTTGACGGAACCTATAGAGAGAGGGCAAGGGGCACGAGAGCAGAGTGTGTCTGCCCCGATCACGCAGGTTGGGCATGACTGCAGGGCCACTGGGAAGCAGCAACTTGAGGTGTCCTTCCTGTTATTATCTCACCAGACATGGAGAAGGCCAGCAAAGGGAGCAGCTAGAGCCCCTTTGGCTATGGCCAACCCTGAATTTTCTTTACCTTCTGTGAAATTTGAAGGGACTGCTTAGCTCCAAGATAGCTAAACAGAATTTGCTGCACATTTCCAGGCACAGCCTCAACAGATAGAGCTAGACAGGGGATGGTCAAGGTGGGCAGTTGAAGCTATCACCTCCAAAGCCAGGAGCCTTCCAGCATCCTCCCTGCCATGAAACCTCCTGTCTAGGTAAGCTCCTGACCCCACCATGGCCTCATCCTCATACTGGGTGTATACTGAGCTCTCTCTGTAGCCAAAACTTCTCCAAGTAGGTGGGAGAAGAGAAAAGATAGTTGTGAGTAGGGACCAACTCACAGCTCCCATGTCTCTGAAGGGCTTTTATAGGGGAAGGGAGCAGGCATGTCCTGGGAGTTTAGGCCAGTGGGGGGCAGTAGGAGGTAAGGTCTGGGGACAACATTAGAAGAAGGAAGTTCTGTTCAATGTAAGGGAAAACTTTCCAACAATCAAGGCTGTTTCACAAAGGAATGGGAGCCATGCACTCACATAGCTCAAGGTGTTCAAAGCAGAAATGGGAAAATTGCATTTCATAGACATTCATACAATCGAGGGGAAAGAGGCAAACCAGTTAATTTTTGACATTTCTGCCAAGCTTCAGATTCTGCAGCCAATAGTACTAATATCTCTAAAAACAGATCTCTTTTTTCCAAGTATTTTCAGTGCCCATAGTTAATGTCCTCTGATAATTGCATGAGGACAGCTTCAGACTAGCAGCAACAGGGTAATAGTCAGAGATGCAACATGTGAAGCCCAGGGACAGCCCCCTACCCAAGCTCTGTTACAAGGCAGATATCTTAGAGAAAGGTGTGACATCTCTATTTTTCATGAGTGTCCTAGGGAAAGCGAGGATGATCAGGATTTCATAGTGGGTCCTTGGCTCCTCAGTAGAGCTGCTCTGGCACAAATGAGGGAGCACTTGTGAGCTTCTGTTTCTTCATGTTTAACATGAGAAGCCAAGGTTTGAGGTTTTCTCTAATATATTGGATTAACTGGTCTACATGACTGGAGCACATCCTATGTGCAATGCCTCTTTGGGGTGACCCCTCTGCAAGGCTGGGTAGGACTGTCTGCTCTTCTATGGGAGAGAAAACATTATTGTGGTATTGCAGTGGTTTTAATGGTCAACTCAGATATAAAAGGGTCTGAGTGAGGAGTTGTGACTTATAAAACAGCTCCAAAAGCATAGAGCTTGCTTATAGAGTCACAAATGCTCACACTGGGAGGCATGAAGGACATTTGTCCTTGGATTCTACCCCTGCTCCCTAGCACTGGGGGCTGGAACAGACTAAGGGAAACTGCAATGCTGTGGACAAAGGCCATGGTTAGAGAGGGGGAATGTAGAAGTGCTTTTGGTAGGGTCTCCATGAACTATTAGCCAGAGTCCCTATTGACAGTGCAATGAAGGAAGATCAACCAAACTCATGAGAAATGAAGTATAAACTAGGCATCAAGTAACAGATATAAATGCTATGCAGATTTTAATGTTCCTGGCCTCTGCTCATCACATCCTCTCCGTAGTCCTCAAATTATTGTCAGAAAATTATTGTATAAGCACAGGATTAGAGTAAGTGAAGTGATGTCAGTGATTATCACTACTGAGTATGACAGCCGGAAGCCCCTAAGGACACTGCAGGGACAATTACAGGCAGGGAGGGCTGGCCAGAAGAGCCAATCAGTGGTCTGGACCCATGCCTTACAGTACAACTTCAGGGTTCCTCTTTTATGGTTCCCATGTAGACCCTTCCTTCAAGTATGTCAACACTATTGATCTGTCTAAAATTCTATCATATATCATGATTTTATTAAGTTTCCAGGGTCTGCTCTTCCTGCTTTTGATTTGACATATCCTGACTTTTAAGGTAACTTCAGTGGACAATGATTTTTGTAATTTCAATGTTACTATTATAAGTTGGCATGCCAAAGGATAAATTTAATTATAAGTTGTCATTTAAATCCCCACATATTGATCCCTATAAACATGTGCTTGCTGTCCTCAGTTTTCCTGAGGGTAGAAGAGAGAATTTAAAATGGAAGTGGGCAACCAATCTGTTGTAGCGGGATTTGTCTTGCTGGGGCTGTCAGATCAGCCAAAGCTTGAGAAAATGTTTTTTGTGTTCATCCTGTTGATGTACCTGGTGATCCTGCTGGGCAATGGGGTCATCATCCTGGTGACCATCCTTGACTCCCGCCTGCACACGCCCATGTACTTCTTCCTGGGGAACCTCTCCTTCCTGGACATCTGCTACGCAACCTCTTCCATCCCTCTTGTCTTGGATGGCTTCCTCACTCCCAAGAAAACCATCTCCTTCTCAGGCTGTGCCATGCAGATGTTCCTCTCCTTTGCCATGGGAGCCACAGAGTGTGTGCTTCTGGGCATGATGGCATTTGATCGCTATGTGGCCATTTGTAACCCCCTGAGGTACCCTGTGGTCATGAGCAAGGCTGTCTATGTGCCCATGGCTATCAGCTCCTGGGTGGCTGGTGGCGCCAACTCCTTGGTGCAGATCTCTCTTGCAGTACAATTACCCTTCTGTGGGGACAATGTCATCAACCACTTCACCTGTGAGATCCTGGCTGTCCTGAAGTTGGCCTGTGCTGACATCTCCATCAATGTGATCAGTATGGGGGTGGCCAATGTGATCTTCCTGGGGGTCCCAGTTCTGTTCATCTCTGGCTCTTATGTCTTCATCATTGCTACCATCCTGAGGATCCCTTCAGCTGAGGGGAGGAAAAAGGCCTTCTCCACCTGCTCTGCCCACCTCACTGTGGTGGTCATCTTCTATGGGACCATTCTTTTCATGTATGCAAAGCCCAAATCCAAGGACCCCCTGGGGGCAGATAAGCAGGACCTTTCAGACAAGCTTATATCCCTCTTCTATGGAGTGCTGACTCCCATGCTCAACCCCATCATCTACAGTCTCAGAAACAAGCATGTGAAGGTCGCTGTGAAGACTCTGGTGAGTCAGAAATGCTTTGCCTAGTGAGAGTAGGGGCAAGCAGCATACCTTGTGGCTCTGTGCACACAGATCTCCTAGGAAATGACTGCTTCATAAGCATAGATTTGTTCGATGGTCCTACACACCAGTCTCATCACAAAACTGCCCAAACAATGCACATCAGGATGGGACTTTCCTGAGTGATTGACAATGAACATCAAATCTTTGGAATGAAGAGGGGAGAGGACTGTGCTACATCACCTAGAAACAAGGATAAGTGACTCTTATATTTTATTTTTGTTATGAAAAAAATAAATAAAAATGGAAAACTTTGTAAGAAAAACATACTTTCCTTGTTCATGTGCTGACCAGCTGCAATTTGTGCCCATTATGTTGTTTTCTGCTCTACTATGCAAGGGGGGGAGGGGTATGGCAGTGAGGAAAAGTCACTTCTTAATTGGTGTCCAAACTGAAAACCAACCTGCCATTTTGCAAAATTACCAACACCAAGACATCCCAAATGATACCATTTAACCCTGTAGGGGGCCCAGAGTGCTTCCTGTTTAATTATTTCCTGCTTACTATCCTAGAGCTTATTTTTGGCTCCATCTTCTTTTATTGTACATAAAGCACATCTATTCCTACCCAAATTTATGAAGGAGGATTTCGTGTCAACACTAATCAAACTCCAGATACTGCAGGCCAAGAATAAAATTTCTAGCACTCTTCAGTTCATTATTGCTGCAATGCAAAGTTTATATTCTGAGTCCCTTTATTTTCCTGGAATTAATGTTTGCAACCATCCGGTCAAATCAATTTCCTCTGTCTCTTCAGGATTTGGACTGGACACTGGCACCAATGCTACAAATCCACTGGTAATTACTCTTGTGGTTAAGAGCATGGACTTTGGAGCCTGACTGATGTGGAGGTGCCCCTGCCTGTGTAACTTCAGATACATTTTTAAAAAGCTACTTAATCTTATAGACTCTTAGTTTTTTAATTTGTAAAATGGACATAATGAAGCCAACCCCATGGAATTGTTGTGGGGATTAAATATATTTCACTTAGGAGGGGGTGGGGAGAGGGAGAACGGGTGATGGGCATTGAGGAGGGCACTTGTTGGGATGAGCACTGAGTGTTGTATGTAAGCCAATTTGACAATAAAATTATATTAATAAAAAATAAATATATTTCATTTTAATTTAATATATATACATATGTGATACACAAGGGCTAACAAAGAATATCCTCTCAACAAATGAACATTTTTATTATTAATGAAATATGTTAAATAACTCCTCTGAGGAAGGCTTATGACACAAAGACAGTTCAATTCCACAGTTAACTGAATCATTTCTGATATATTATTATAGTGCCTTTTTGTTTGGCTTTCTAGCTTAGGAGTCAAGAATCTCATTTCTCTGGGCATTTCCTCTGTCACCTTTCTTCCTTATCCACACAGGTAAGTTATGCATGTCTGAGCTGTGCAACACTGACCCTACCTCGACCAACCAGATTCTTTCTGCCAGATTTTGGGGATTGTTGTTAATACCCAAGAAATGAGTCACTGCATCCATAACATACAAACGGGAGTTTTGGGGTAATTGTGTTCACCCACGTGTACTGGGGTGGTAAAGAGAAAACAAGTCTGCAAAGAGAAAAGAAAGAACAGCCAAAGAACCGATGATTGAGGGCTTCCTCATATGTTTCCAGTTCTCAGTTTCCAAATTTTCCTAGGCCTAGCCTGTATTCCTGCCCTTTTGTTTCTAAAGGACACTCCTCTATATTAGATTCTATTTTTGAATAATCTAGATTAAGTTACTTTCTTTGAAAGAGGGCAATAAAAGTCATATCTAATATGATTACTAATGTATAAAGTAGATATTCTCTATCATGTGCCTTGTGCAAATGGAGTGCTAGGCTATAATGCACAGAAGTCTTAAAGAATTCAGTTTTGAGACAACTGTTGTGAACTCAATATGCAGTGCTTCTTGTAATCAGTACTCCCTTTCTGCTACAGTGGCTTTGCTCTCTGTGGATCCCATCACCTGTAAATGTGGAACATGTCCAGAGGTTGATGTAATATAAAATGTTTAGGTTTAAATTCCTGACCAGCCACATAGAGCTGAGAGACCAAGAGTGTATTCTCTGCTCTTGAAGAATCTCAGGTATATTCTTCCACACAATGAAGGGGGAGTACTAAATCTCAAGTGATCTCCACCTGTGAATTTCCTGGGATCTGTGTTTCCATCCACTGGTGGGAAAGTCCCACTCTGTCTTACAGAGTTTTTATTTCAGTATTTGAAGCTGAGTCTGGTTTCTCTCATCTCCTTAGCTGCTCATGTACTAGGAGCATCTTCAGAGCCCCCATCTTCTCCACTAGGCTCAACAACCAAACAGAATGACTCAGGGAACTGATGTCATTCCACCTCTATCATTGGTACAATGAACAGAGTAGCCATGATTGCAGGAGGTTATTTGCTAAACAACAGGGACTCACTCACAAAGGCTGATGTAGCTACTTCAGCAGCTAATTGTTCAAACTCTCAGCAACAGAGACCAACCCTCATTCGAAGAGACTATTCAGCCACTTGGCAGTAAGCTGATTACATTAGGCCATTTCCATTCTGAAAGTGCAGTGATTCATCTTGATTAAAATCAACACCTCTTCTGAGTATGGGTTACCTTTTCTCTCTGAAGGGCATTAGCTAACATCACCATCTGACAACTCACAGAGGGTTTGACTTATCCTGTGTAATATTTCATTGGTCCAAGGCTCATTTAGCAAAGTTGGTGTCATTGTGAGATAGTGATTATGAGATCCACTGATCCTTCCATATACTGCACCATCCAGAAATAACTTGTCTGAGGGAATGACATAATGGCCTTTTGAAAGCACTGCTAAGGCACCAGACTGGTGATAATATTCTTCAAGAATGGGGTATATGGATCCTAAATTAATGGCTGTTTTATGGTTCTGTGCCCCCAAAAGGCAAAATACATGGTCTAGGAATCATGGGTGGTAGCAAGAGTATCCCTGATGACAGGGATAAGAGTAACCCCAGTTAGCTACTGGGGGAATTTTTACTTTCAGTCACTGTAACATTAGGCTTTGTAGGTATAAGCGTCCTAGTTCCCAGAGAAGTGTTGCTTCCACCAGAGGACACAGAAAGAGTCTCATTAAACATTTGTAGCACTTAATAGAGGTGTAACTTCCCTACCATAAGATTCACCCATTTTTAGATTTTTGATAAATCTATACATTGTGCAATTATCACTACAAACCAATTTTAGAACATTTACATCATTTCAAAAAGTTCTCTCATGCCCATTTGTAGTCAATCAATCCCCAACTCCAGTCCCAGTAACTACTAATCTACTCATTTCTAGAAAGATTTGCCTTTTCTAGAAATTTCAGATAAGTGGAGCAATACAATATATAGTCTTTTGTGTCTGGCATCTTTCATTTAGCATGTTTTTGAGGCTCATCTAGTTATAACATGCGTTAGTAGTCTCCTTTGTATCACAGACTAGAATTACATGGATCTGACATCTTGTGTTTATCTATTCATTCATTGATGGACATTTGGATTTTTCCAGTTTGGGGCTATCATGAATAATGCTACTATGAACATTCACGTACACAACTTGGTGTGGAATTGGTGGGTTGAATGGTACAAATAAGTTTAACTCTAAGAAACTGCTAGCTTGTTTTCCAAAGTGGCTGTATCATTTTAAATTCCCACAGTGTACAACATTGCCAGTTTCCTTACATCCTCACCAACACTTGGTCTTATTAGTATTCTCAATGTAGCTCTTATAGTAGATGTGTAGTAGTAGCTCACTGTAGTTTTAATTTGCATTTCCCTGGTGGCTACTAATTCCCTGGTGCAACTAATGTTGCACATCTTTTCATGTGCTTATTAGCCATTCACGTACCTCTTTAGTGAAGATATTTTAAATTGGGCTGTTTATCTTCTCATTATTGAGCCACACATAAGAGTTTTTTATGTAACCTGAATATAAGTACTTTATCATATATACAAATTACAAATATTTCAGTCTTTTTTGTCTTTTCATTTTTATGGTGTCATTTGAAAAACAAAAGTTTTTAATTCTGTAGTACAATAATCAATTTTTAAAAATAAATTTTGATGTCTTATTTAAGAACTCTTTACTTAATCCAAGGTTACAAAGATTTTATTCCATGTTTCCTTCTGGAAGTTGTATAACTTTTTTTTTTTTAAGAGAAAGAGAGAGTGCACGAGTGGGAGAGAGAGACAGATGGAAAGAGAGGGAATCCTAAGCCAGCTCCACACTCAGCGTGGAGCCTGATGCAAGGCTCAATCTCACAACCCTGGGATCATGACCTGAGATGAAACCAAAGTCGGATGCTCAATCGACTGAGCCACCCAGGCACCCCACAGGTTGTATACTTTTAAGTTTTACATTCAGGTCTGTGATCCATTTTGAGTTAACTTTTTGTATGGTGTGAAGAAAGGGTTTCATTTATTTTTTACATGTGAATATCTAATTGTTGCAGACCATTTATTGAAAAGACTGTCTTTCCCCCCATTGGATTGCCTTGGCACCTTTGTTGAAAATCAATTGACCATAAACATAAGGATTAATATCTGGACTTTCTATTCTGTTATATCTACTAAACTTAAAGCTATGGCTATCCCCCAGTCATGTTGGGCTTCTTATGCCAAGAGACCAGAAGGCAAGGCAAAGAGTCACTCCTAGTTACATATAACTGATCCTAGTAATCAGGAGGAGATAGGGCTGCTTTTACCCAATGAGGGCTGCTATGGACTAAATATCTGTGTCCCACTAAAATTCATACTTTGAATCCATAATCTATTAACTAGGAAACTCAACCTCTGACTACTATGTATCCAACAGTAGGACCATATATCACAGAGATTCTGAATCAGGTTGTCTGGCTTTCAAGAGAGCTATCATTTCAGTCCAGGAGGTATTCCAGTGCAAACACAACATAGCTGTGGAGTTAGAAGAAAGAAGTTAACAGAAAATAAATAAATTAATTAATTAAATAAATGTGGCATTGCATGGAGCAAAGGCATTGTGCATTTTCCATTTAGAGGGGGCTAGGTAAGTATCA